GCTAATCCGTTGCTTTATATTAAATTGTATGAATTTCGATATTCGTTATGATCGTCCCCACTGCTTTTATTTCGACTCATGTGAATATAATTGTTTAATGGAGGTAGCTGAGATATTTATTTTAATTTTTAATACATTTCATTAAAAGTTTTAAAAACTATTTTATTATTAATTAATTATTTATTTGCTCAATTCTTTTAGCCATTAAAATTCTAAATTTCAAAATTGACAAATATTTATTTATTTACATATATTATTTTTGAAACAATATTTTTTGGAAATGTGTTTCTTATGATATTTATTTATTAATATTTTCTCTCTCTCTCTCATTGATCTGCCCACTCTGTGGGAAGGAACTCTCGCAGTCAATCAGTGGTGGAGTCTTTCTCGCGGTGGGCGCCACCAATGAAGATTGTATATATTTTATATATATGTATATTGATCAATTTTATATTTTACACTTATTTATCGATATTTATTCACATATATATGAATATATTTAACATTATATAATCTTATATGGATATTGAAATAAAGTAGTTTCAATCTCAAAATCTCTCTCTCTCTACACAGACTTTACTACATTATAATGCTACATTATACTTTACTACATTATAATGCTACATTATACTTTACTCTATTATAATGCTACATTATACTTTACTACATTATAATGCTACATTATACTTTACTACATTATAATGCTACATTATACTTTACTACATTATAATGCTACATTATACTTTACTACATTATAATGCTACATTATACTTTACTACATTATAATATTGCTAAGGTTGGAGCGATACAGGGAGGATTAGCATGGCCCCTGCGCAAGGATGACACGCAAAATCGTGAAGCGTTCCATACATTATAAAAATTATTAGATCAGAGGGCTTGGCTCAAAAGTGGTGAACTCTTTAAGCGATTTTGCCAAATTAAACTCCAGACCGCTCTACTATTGTATTGAATTGGTTTTCTTATATACTCAGCATTTACCACGGAAGGCAGCTTAGGAGTATTTAGGAACCTATGGGCATAAGTTTATAGGTCTTTAGAAGGGCATGCATATAATTACAAGGAAGTGCATCGATCAATGTTCTTTCTCTCTTCCGCAAATATTATTTAATATTAAAGCTATTATTCAAGCAATTTACAATTATAATTTCAATTGTCTCTCTTCTATCGTTAAATAAATATCTTAAGAAAAATACATCTTGCGCCGAAAATGTTATTACAAATTTAAACGATAAATGAACAAATAAATCGGAATTATTATAATATATTATTATATATATTTATGAATATATATATAAATATTTAATTAAAAAGGCATATATTGGATCAAAAGATCATTTATTATGATCATATATATCATATATATATAATGCTATACTTTTACACACATTAAAAATTGTTATGTTTGTTTTCTCATTTTTCAAATTATTATACATTTCTGGCAATATCCTCACAATTATTTATAGCTTTAGTTCATACAATGAACTAATATATTCTAGTTCTTACTAGCTCATATTACTACTTTCTCCTTTTGATTTATACATATACAAATTATATTCTATAGCACATTTCAGAGTATCACGGCTACTATAGGCACTATAGGTATTGATTTACATACGTATAGATTCTAAAACATTTCAGAGTATCACGGTTACTATAGGCACTATAGGTATTGATTTACATACGTATAGATTCTATAGCACATTTCAGAGTATCACGGCTACTATAGGAACTATAGGTATTGATTTACATACGTATAGATTCTATAGCACATTTCAGAGTATCACGGCTACTTTAGGCACTATAGGTATTTATTTACATACGTATAGACTCTATAGCACATTTCAGAGTATCACGGTTACTATAGGCACTATAGGTATTGATTTACCTACGTATAGATTCTATAGCACATTTCAGAGTATCACGGCTACTATAGGCATTATAGGTATTGATTTACATACGTATAGATTGATTTACTGAAATTAATGTTTAATTAAAAAGGAATATAATAGCACCAAATATAATTTATTTTACCAACATCATTATATTTTGATTCAATATATGCCTTTTAATCAAATATATATTTATGGATTGCTCTATTTTCAAAATGATATTAATGTAAATACAATTTTTTCTATTTTGATTTTTAGATTTCGAGGCGAATCCAATATAAAAAAACGATAATGTTTTCAGGAAAAGAATATTCAACAAATCGTCAGTGCGCTAAATACGGGTTTATTAGGAGAAGGAGTAATAAGATCGTTTTATTGCTATCGTTGCGGGACAATAAACCACGTCGATAAATCCCTGAGTATACGACGCTTCCTCCTGTACAAAGCGAATGGTAGAAACATCTTTCATTCAAGAATATTCCTAACTACTATCCCACATTATATAAATCTTTCTATTTCAAGTTCACTCATTTTTCATTTTTATGAAAAGTTTTCCGTATGATTTTCTATAGAAAATATATTCTCTAGTTCGCAACAATCGAAATTGCTTGTCTGAATACTCTTTCATATAAATCAATATTTTTTATTAATATCGTTAATCTTATATGTATATCGATTCTCCTGAGAGGTTCAGAAAAGGAGTTTAAAAATACAAAAATGCCACTACAAGAATATTAAGAACAAATATCAACTTTTAGGATCTCTCATTTCTAATGAATATAATAGAGCATAAACAGGAAGATAGATTTACCATCACAATACAGATATCTTAGAAGAAATTAATAGATAAATTTCATAAGTTTTGGTTGCCCTAAAAACGCAAATTGATATATACCATAACATTGTTAAATTACATATCAATTTTAAAATATCAGTTGTAAATATCCACACTGCGCGCGTATGTATTTGTAAATATTTCTTGTAAGATATAGTCGATGTTTTTTTATTAAGCCGGTTGAAGAGCGATTATCGCTTGAAAGCTAGCATTTTAAAATAAAAAAAACTCATTGTGATAAGATATTTTTGTATTTTTAAACGTTTCCACAATTTTCTCATGAACAGAAAAGGAGTGAAAGAAATTCGAAATCACCAAGTTATATAGGAAATGTGGGCATAAGAGCTAGATTTATTTTGATATATTATCAATCAATCTTATTACCTTTATTAAGACCTTTAGTCGAGTAATTTCATTAGATTACGATAAGGCACAATTTGGATTATAGATTATAAACACAAGGTGATAAGACCAAATACAAATAAATAAATAGTATGTGACGTTTCGGTAACAGCGTTGTTATCATCTTCAAACAAAAGTATTGAATGATAAATTTGATTATATAATATTATTTTAAATTTCTCATTCAGTACTTTTGTCTGAAGATGGTAACAACGCTGTTACCGAAACGTCACACGCTATTTATTTATTTGGATTTGGTCTTATTACCTTGTGTTCATTAGATTACAATATATATAGTCAGTTTTATAGCAATTTTCAATTCTCTCAAGAAATAGTCAAAGGTCATACCATGCCATTTCTGGCGAAATGGGAGGGTGAAGACAAACAGAAATATTTTACACCGCGAAAAGTGTCGATCCAAAAGTGAAATAAGGAAGCGCTGTCATAAGAGAGATAAAGGATGAAATCCTTTTTTTCATTTTCTTCGTTTTCTACTCAAATTGTTTATCGATCGGTCTAGTACACGTACTTATGTTTTATATTCAGAATATGCATCTCTCTTCCCTCCGGGTACAAACTGCTGGAAAAAAATCTTACAGTGGTGAAAAATAAAGCAGGGTTACTCTACAATGTTTCGTCTTTATTCAGAACATAATGAACAGAAAATCATATACATCTGGTTTTATAAATGGCGGATTAATATCAAAATATATTTTCTTATTTAAAGGTTTTATTTTTTAGCTTTTTTAGAGAGGACGAAGAAGTGAACCCGTTTAATAAAACCTTTTGAAGTCAAGTTTTTTCTTTGTTATCGTTAACAACATCTCTGAATGCACTATTGTTAACTAAGAACGGAATAAGATCTTAAAGAACATTATCCAAGTCTACGTGAACCCAGTTCAGCTAATCAGAATAATGTCTGAGAAAAATATATAGAGATAGAATTGTTTAACTTTCATAAAGCGTTAGAGAACAAGGTAATTTCTAAGAACCAAAATTACAGAACAATTTCCATCCATAGTTAATTTGTATAATTATGTTGAATACTTTCATTTCTCCTTTTTATTTTCCCTTCTCTCCTTTGTTTACGTTTTCCCCCCTTTCTTCATGAAATGATGTATGGCGAATCCTTACAGGACGGAAATGTCCTAATAAAACAGTTGTTGTTGTTATCGTTAACATTTTAGGAAATAGGTTTCGATGCATATATTGGCCTTCATAATTCAATAAAATAATCGCTTGGTATAATATTAAGGTGAAAACATCAGGCTTCAACGGATATTTCTTTTTTAAAATTTGTATTTCAAATATTTAGAACTTTCGGACATGATAGCCCTTCTTCAAACTTTGTTCAGCCAAGTTTGGTAGAAATAAGTGACAGATTTCAATAAGTGGTGGTAGTTGTTATGTTGGTAGTGATGATTAAACATCCTATAGGACATGCAACAACTGTCCTGGTGTGGAACTAACACCTACCCACATATTCTCATGCCCAGCAATGGCCGCAGCCTTGCAGAAAATTGACTTAGACCCAGAGCAGCAGATTTACACACCCAAGATAGTGGATATTGCTGCTGCTGTGATGGAGATGCATGGAGACATCTGAGACTCTTCTTTGGACACGAAAACAATAACAACAACATGAAACATCCCAAATACGCTATGATAATCATGGTAGATAGTAAGCGACTGCTTTTACTTTAAGTGTCACCACATATCTACACATGTAGAAAGCAGTTCAATATTTTCACTTAAAAGTGTGTTAGAGCCTCGTTTGGTTAATTGCACTCACTAGTGGAGTTAGAATCTTGCAAGAAATGGGGGCCTTTGAAGCAATTTATTTCAGAAAGAAGTGCCCAATGCGGGATTCGAACCCGGGTTGTTGTTATCAGAAATCGACAGTGTATACCAATCATCCACCAACCAACCGATTGTATGTGCTCTGAACCTGACTGGAATTAGAAAGTAAGGCTAAATGTCTACAATACCTTTATTTATTCTTACTATATAAGAACGTGAAATTTCGAGTCTATGAGACCGAGGAAGAGTTGTCTAGACTCGAAACTCACGTTCTCATTTATGAAAGACAAAAATAAATGCTTTGCAGACATTTTAGCCTTACTTTATTTTATTTTTTGCAACTAACCTTTTGATTCAAACAGATTCAGTTTCAATACATCATTTGTTTGATATCTTTTAACCTTTTAAACCTAAAAAGTACATTAATATAACACCAAAATTCATTGAATGCATATTTGCATATATATTTCAAGGAGAATATTCCGTGTGTGTGTTATATGTGTATGTTTTGTATTTTACCGCTTGTACATTGAAAAGTTGCCAAAGGAAATATCAGAGAATATATGCAAGCAAGTAATTAATTATAAATAAAAATAGAAAATATATTCGTGATTAACTTTTCTAATAATCGTAGCTAAGTAGATAGGAAGTTTCACACGTTTTGTGACATAATTCTTCACCTATTAGTTGATAATTTGTCAGAATAATTTAATATTTTAATAAACAAATATTTGTTTACATTGTTAGCGTTCTCCATGTAGCTCTTTTTTCATATACGATACTTTATAACTACACTCAACGAATTATTTCATACACATTTACGTTTTACGTAAATAGAATCTTTCTTAAGACAATTAGTCTCTCTCATACATAAAGTTACCTGGTAAGTCATTTGATAAATCCATAAACCAAATGAAGGTTTTGACATCTTTCGAAATACACGAAGGGAAAATTTAGAATCCAAGATGCTCCAGAGTGGAAATATTTCATTTCTTTATAAAGTCCTGAGGTGATAGCTATACAATAAACGCAGCAACGAGAGAAGTATATTAGTCCAACATGTTTGTTTTTGAGTTGTTTCACACTTATTCAATAGTGAATAAATCAGAGGTACTTATTACTTGGAAACGATCAACTTGTTGCATGCATTCAGGTAAAACCCTTGCAATGTTCGAGCGTTCATTGTCACACTATAAATAAGTTTCTGTAGAGGCAAAGCTTGGGAGGTAAAGCATGTAGTACAGGATGTCCTGAGCTTATCGCTAAGCATTTAACGCTCATCGGATCAATACTAAGATAAACTTTGAATAAAAAGAAATGGTATCAGGCAGACCGACACTCCAATATATGAATCGCTCCACATGAAAAAATAGGATATAGTTCTCAATCATGGAATCTCCAAACACAGAGTTGGAATTGAATCTAGTTTATTTGTTATTCCCAACTGTGTGTTCATTCTGCTGCAATCTTGCAGGACATCGCTCCAAGGAAGTGGTTAGCTGTTGTTATGATTTAGAAGATACGACAACAACACTAGCAACTCCAATATCTTGTCGTGGTAAACGAACTACTCCTAACGCCAACAACGTTCAATGTTTTTACATGGGTGCGGAATCTTTTCGGCGCACTAGCAAAAATATCAGGAAATATAAAAATACATTTAATTATCACACTATATATATAATCCAAAAATCAATATAAAAATTGTAAACATACAATCTTATAATAGAGATTTGAATATTCATATATACAAAGGAAAAGGTTATTTCTAAGTCTAAACAGCTGTCTAGGGCAGTTCACTTAATGATCACGGAGAGACAAATAGTCCTTAGTCAGCCATCTTGAAACGGCCCTACTTGACCATCCTGTTCTTTTGTTGTTGTTTAAAACTGAATAATAAATACTTCTTGATGTGCTGTTTCGGGTTAGTGGGTTAAATTACGGTGCTAACAAAAATGAAAGCGTGAAAGCTTGACTTCCCTCCGCTTCTGCATTAAAAAAAAAAACCTCCTTGAAAATCTTTTTATTTTATTCTTTTATTCAGGTATAATTATTTGAAACTTTATTTTATTATTTATCATTAATGTGTTCGTTTACTAGAGGTTTGAGACGGTTCTAATTCCACATAATGGATGTATAATCTATTATACAAGTATTATACTTGTATAAAAAAGGGCGTACTGGATCTGTGAAAGAATTTTATTTTCAAAATGTTTTTTAGGGATTGCTCCATCTTTATAAATTTATTTTACAAAATAATTAAAAGTAATTTGCACAAATTCATACAAAGGTAGATTCTATATATGTTTATTTACTAGGTTTATAAGGTGTGAGGTGGGGTAAGAAGTAGATGGGCTTTGTTCCTGAGCTATAGGCGCCTTCATTGTTTTAGCGCAATAAAATTGCAGACGAATTGAAGTCTTGATGAGTAACACAAAGGAGTGAAGAGACTTACTCATTTTGCCGGTCGACGTCATTACGAGGACCCGCAGCGAGATTTGCCGGTCCCCGGTCCTTAACACCACTTGACTCTGGGCAAATACAATATGGCAATTAGGAACGGTGTTGGTCATCCTTATTTGAATTACTTTAAGGTATTATTGGAAGATTTGCGTAGAGATTGCGGAATGCTCTCATATTATCAGTGGTAGCATATCGTTCCCTTTGGTCTAACACACTCACATTGCGTTTTGAAAATAACATTTTAAGATATTTTTCTGGAGTTATTTGTTTTATTTTCTTGTGCTTTGTGCAGAAAATATTTCTTTATTATACAATAATTTGTATGAGATTTTGAAATGAGATTTGAAATTTTTACCACTCTATCTTTTTTAAAGGTGAAATGACTTTAAGTAAACACACACACAAGCATTTTAATCTAATAATATGCTCACATAGAAAAATGAAGAAAGACAGCCATGAGAATGTGATAAAGAATTTTATTTTTATCAAAGCAATTGCTAGGTTATTGATGACAAATAAGAGAGACAATAAGAAAAATATGTTGAGCAACAAAATATCTAAATAAACAAGCGTTTGATTAAAGATTGTGCTCAAAAACAGCTTATTGTTACTGACCTTGATCTAACATATTTCGGTCAAGGTTTCCCTCAGCATCATGAAAATGGTTCCTAGTGGCTTTAGGTCTTTTTCCTTACGGCGTAGAGCGTCTTCATAGTTATAATATCAATTGGAGCATTGTCTTCTTGGAGGGAAATCTTGGCTTTGACACACGGCGGTGAAGTCCTGGAGTCAGTCGCGGAAATTGTAGTTCTCAGTAGCCATGGCCTCAGTGTTGCTGATAATCTTCCGTTTATCTTCCCCAATCTACCCAGCATCTCCACCAAATTTCACGTAGGAAAGTAAAGAAAAACAAACAAGAAGTTGACAAAGCGCAATTTATTTTGATTAAAACAATTGTCACCTTTTGAATATAGAGTAATCCATAATATCTATATTTTAAAAATAGGATTATTTTAGATTCTCTCTCTCTCTCTCTCCAAAATAAAAAGCCTCGTAAAAGATGGTTCATCGAATTATTGGATAAATAAAATTCTTATTGAATCCAAAATAAGCCTTATTTTTAAAATACCAACTTAACAACAAATAAGAGAGACGAGAAATAATCTCAGTAACAAAATATTTAATTAAATAAATAATCTGTTGATTAAAGATTAAATATTATGTGCCATAATATTTCCAATATAAACAATTATTTAATGAATAAAATTTTATAATGATAAAATACATTCTGGCCATTATATATAAAATTGTTACGACATGAGAAAGAGTTACACGATAAATTCGAAATTTTAATGACAGTTACAATATGCTAGGATATATACAAATGATTAGAATTTCAACACCAATATGCAGAGCATGTAGGAATAACATGACCGACACTTTGTATAACATGGCAGATCGTAAAGCGTATTTCGTTTATAGAAATTACATTTATATTTTAAAGATCATTTGTTGGTTAGAATTTTGTTTGGAAAATATATGGCTACATAAACCAATTATTTATTTAATTCTTGACGTTAGTGACTTGCTGTCACTCTCCTCAGGAGGAGAATGACAGCCAGTCCCTGAAACGTCGTGAATTAAATAAATAATTAGTTGATGTAGCCATATATTTTCCAAATTCACATTTTAGTTGTTTTTGAAAAGTTTTTGTTGTGCCTCGTTCAAAATAGAGAAACAGATGCCAGCACGTATCGGAATTCGAACGCGTCAGTATCGTGGCCTACTGGGAATGCAGTTTATCCTCTGGTTGTTTTTCAGGTAAGTCGATATTTCACAACCGTTACAAGAATATGGAATTGATGGTTCCATGAAGGTCATTCAGGATCTAAACGGACCTCGGTTACTATCTACCGAGAGGACAGAAATCTTGTTCGCATCGTCCTACAAAATCGTAGAGCCACATCACGTACTATAAGTCAGGATCTTTGGTTGTTTTCACAATGAGAAGTGTCAGCAAGGACATTGCGACTCAATGGGCTGTCAGCATGGCAACCAATGCTAAAGCTTTCTTTGACACTGCAATAGAGGCAGAATTGCCTACAGTGGCGCGTTGAAATGGCACAGGAGTGACGTCACGTCGTCTTTTCTGAGTAATTCTCAGCCCTGCATCCAGAACCATAATGGTCATATTCGCGTGTGAGGACATCGAGGGAGTGCCTAATACCTACTTGCATTCGCCACCGTCTTATGAGCCCATCATCAGGAGTGATGGTAGGGTACACATCTCGGTCATCTCTAATTAGCATAGCATTTTATTTCCTCGTTGTGTGATGCATACTGTGCATCAACGACATACCAAGGTGAGACCAATAGTTGAGCAGACTCTTTGGAAAGATTCCGGTCTCGTGTATCAGTTCTTGAGTTCAGTTTGTGTGAAAATATTTGGTATGCCGCCTTTTTTTTTCTGGTATTCATCACACTCTTATTTTAAAACAGACGTCTTACTACATCTGAGATCAGAACTAGATTCCGTAAGGACGCCAGGAACTGGGGTGTTTTTGCTGAAATAATATCAAGATATTGAACATTGTGCTCTTTTTGCTTTTGATGTCTTTTAGGTTTGTAATGCAGAAGTATCATCTTTACCCCTACTCCACATCTTA